TAACGCCGCGGCACGCAATGAATTGGAAGTTGATCTGTCAGCTCTATCCTTATCTTCAGGGCAGATGTTTTTATTTTATTTGGCTTATAATTCCTTACTAAATGTAGTATTTCATCTTGATGTACTCCGTCTTTGATATGATTTAAATCAAATTCCTCGTCATTATAATTCGCTTCCGATAGCGAAGAAAGTGACAGAGGTTATTGAAAATGAAAAAAATTTCAATTGATAAATTAGTCGGTAGACACAGCAATTATAGGACTTGAACAGCGGAACTTCATAACTGAACAAGAAATTATGTCTGTTTATAGAATTAAAGAGAATGTATTATCACATAAAAAACGAAGCAACTTAAACAACTTACATTGAAAGAAATGTTTAATAAAGTAAACAAATAAATATTAAGCTTTTTTTTTTTTTGTAAATTTTGATACTCTTTAGATCATAATTGTTCTTTATTTCATAAATTACAGTTTCATATTTTTAACTTTATAATTTCTGCATGCCATCATACCAGATTTAAACTGATGATCTATAATCCGGAAAAATCGATAATCCGGAATCGCCGATGTCCCGACTAGTCCGATAAAGTCCCGACGAGTCCGGATTAACGACTTTTGACTGTATTAGTAATTTCTAAGAAACAGTAAAACTTCAGCAAGATACTCTTTGTTAAAGGACTATAGATCCGATTTGATCACTGACTTCAGATATGAGAAGAGTCTTTCCACACTGACTTGAGTAGGAAGAAGAGCTGTTACTGTTAGGGCTACTTCCTTTAACTTTTCAGGATAGATTTTTATAACTTTTAAAAGAGGTATCTTGCAAGAGCAATCATATTTATCTATTTCTTTAAAGGCCGTGTATAAATTTTGTTAGCATTTTTTCATTTTTATATCTAAAGGCTCTTGGTTATTTATTTTCATTCACTTTGCCTTAGCCTTTTCAATATTATTCAAATATTTTTAAAAATCTAATTCATCAGTGGAAGACGATGATAGAGACTCAATTACAATATCTGAAGTTTGACTGTCGTGATTTGAATACTCCAGTTGTTCTGATAATAATTTCATTTTTAATGAAAGTTCATAGATGGCTTTCTTTACCTTTTTAATATGTTTGTCATCCAACAAAATTCGGCGATTTGGGATCTATATATGTTGACCCAAATCGCCGAACCCAGCACGATCTCATTGTCTAGCAAACTAGTTTCTCTTTTCTTCATTGAAGAAATGATTCCTTCTGCAATAAACCCTCCAATTCTTCAGATTGTAGCTTTTTGTAGCTTCAGATGGTATAGAAAGAAGAGTTTCCAATTCTGCAAGATCATTCTACAGTCTTTCTGTCAGTGAAACATTAGGGTTATCTACATCTTCTAACATTCTCATCTCCTGTTAATTCTTCAGATTGGAGCTTTTTTATAGCTATATGAAAGAAGGGTTTCCAGTTATGCAAGATCATTCCACAGTCTTTCTATTAGTGAAATGTTAAGGTTATTTACATCTTCTGAAAATGTTCTTAATCCTAACAACCACTATATCATTAAATATGTACTTCTCCATTGTGTTGCTCCTTTTCCTGCTCGCTTCCTAAGAATGGCATCAATTTTGGGAATTCTCGCTGCTTACCTAAATTCACCAACGAAATTAGTAACTAAATGAACAGTTTAATTAATAATGGCAAATATCACGTCCATCTTGCTCCCTTATATTTATTTACTAATATGTTAATAAAATAGAAAATAAATATTTATTAATGTATATAATCCATAAATAAAAATATTAACTCAGTTTGTCATTAATTATTTTTTTCAATTCACTTTAATTTCATTTCAAATTCAAACTGTTCAATAAAAACTGGAGTCGGAGTTGATGTGTTTTTTAGCGACTCCAACTCGACTCATTTTACCCAAAAATCTACCCGACTCCACAGCCCAGGTTACAAGTACACATGGGATAATGTGAGTACACATGGGATAATGTGTATAAGTATAGAAAAGAAGCATATTTTGTAATTTTCTTGGATAAAAATAAAATTATCTTATTCTAATTACAATTAATTTATTTGCTAATCTTTGGAATATGGTAATAGGTAGTTGGCGACATTTTGGTAAGGTGATAAAGGTTACTAGCTAGGACTTTAGCAATAATCTGAGAAGTACACAGTTCGAATCACAGATTATTTTGTCTCAGAGAAATGAGAGATCATGAGACATGTAATGTGACATTTTCCGGAAAATTCCAATCGGGATTTTAGCTAATAAGCACTAAGAAACAATTTCACTGCTAAAGTGCAGAATCGCCCACTTATTTGTTTTGCGCTTTTTACAAGAGTAAGAAGAATTGGATTTTTGTCAATTTTCTTTGACTTTTTAAGTGAAAATAAGTCGATGTGTACATGGATAAAGTCAAGAGTGTGTGCAATGCCGTTTTTGTGCAATTCTGGGATTCTTTTTAAGTGAAAATAGGTCGACGTGTACATGGATACCGTGTATGTGCAATTTTTAAAAACGCGGCAAGCAGTGGGAGATTCTACACTTTCTCCCAATTTCGCACCTAATCTTCGTCCTGATTAAGCACTTTTGTTCCATAAAAGTTCTAGCATAAGCGTAATTCGGCTAGCAGATTGTAGGGGAAAAAAAAAAAAAAATGCCTTTACTTTGTGAAAACAAAATGGCGTCTCCCCCCCAAAAAAAATAGCAGGTGGCTGTAGCAGGGTTGGTCGCTAAAGTTTCACTAAGTTACCATAATCCGAAGATTCATCAATTTATTTAGAAAATAATTAAACAGTGAATTTGAAATGTCTACTGACAAAGTCATGCGATCATCAGCACAAAGATTTTATCTGCAAAGTAGCAATCATATAGAAAGAAAATATCCGTTTCCTTTCCCCTATCTTATTTAATATCTGGGCTAACAACCTAAACACTTTTCCAACTATTTGGTGCCTATCGCCCAAGTTGGTGAATGCAATTTCTGGAATCTTGCCAAGTGTGGGTTATCTGAGTATCCCCAATTTCAGGAAGTTTTTGGATGCTGTTAAGGAATTTTGTGTGCCACAGTTTGAAGGACTCAGAAATTTCTAAATAAGGTAAATGGATATTTGCATTGTGTAGTGCTTAGATGCATAAGATGGATTTCCTTTTCATGTTATTTTATTATTTGATTTAAAATGTAATTTATTGAGATTATGTATTTTTTGTTTGACTGTACTGTAGAATTACGTAATCCTTTGACTTTTTAAGTGAAAATAGATCAATGTCTACATGGACAAAGTCAAGGGAGTATGCAATGCAAAGTTTGTGCAATTCTCTGAATTTTTTTAAGTGAAAATAGGTTGGTGCGTACATGGATACCAAGTTTGTGCAAAGGCGATTTTTGTAAAAATCGCCACTACACAAAGCCAAAATAACAAATACGCGCGCAAGAACTGCACAAACTTGGTATCCATGTGTTGCCGAAAATTGCCAAGGGGCACCTGTAAATATATTTTTACCGGCAATAAGTCTAGACTGTATGGCGGATGATCAAGCATTTTCCAGTGCACCAGTTTTGGCTTTCATGGTGTTTCTTTCACCTTTCCTTCTCCAATCCATGCTTGCATGCTTCGACTGAGGGGTGTAATGACACACCATGTCCCGTCACGGGTGACTATTTTATGCAAAATAGCTTTCCCTTCTTCCTCAAATTGAAGCAACTGAGAAATGCGAACTTGTGCAACTTTTTCATCATTATTCAGCAATTTTAGAAACCGATAAGCTGAGAATTTTTTCTGTAACCCAACTACTTTCTGATGCCTGACTAGATAATTAGGCAGAGATTGTGGTAAACTTTGGCTGGTTTCACGTTTTCACAGACGAGGAAACTTTATAATTATGTGTTGCAGAATAGAGCCGAGATCACTCCTCTTACTAATCGTAAGGGCTACTACATAAAGCATGGGACAAGCCGGCTGATGTGGTTCCTTTACTCTAGGCAACCCCACCTAATGACTTCAGCTGCCCAAACACATACAAATATCCATCCTGATGCTCAGCCAATAAAAGCTCATTCATATTTGATCACCCTACATAAAGTACCATCAAAATGTAAAAATTATAGCTTATAAAATAGCTTTTATGAACTGCATTCGGTACTTTTCCGTTTCGCCGGCGCAAATCTCGCCAAGCAGGCTTTGTTGGTGACAACATACAGTATACACATAAAAACGTTAACGAATGTTAGTTCTAAGAATTTTTTATTCTGAAGGCATAAACACTTTAATATGGTTTAAAATTTTGCAAAATTCCAATAAATAAAGACAATAAATTTGTAAAAAGGCACTAATTTAATAATTTACTATGCTTTCATGGTTCAATATCCTGATTCGTCGGTTCGTATCACGTGACCCAAGTGATCTCATATCACGTAAACTACGCTACAAAAATTTAATTCTCTCAGTAATTATATGTATTAATTTCAAGTTAAATTTTAATTTGGAATACAAGTTTAAATGCAAGAATTATTTCAATTCCTACGAATAGCTTACTCAGAAATTATGTAAAACCGTAGTGCTTTAATTCGCTAGCACATTCTCATTAGAACTGATTAATTTAACCCTTGATTTTGTCTTTTCTATATTTTCGCTTTCGGGTGAGCGATGTGGTTGCATTTCTAATTGACTTAATTACCGCGAATCGTCTTAGGGCCTAAAAGTAAACTATCTTGTAAAATTTTTATGTAATTGTATGCCAGTATTAAAAGAAACAATAAATCTGATAAGAAACGGTTGCGACTTGTTTTGAAAATGAGGCGTAAAAGGTTACCAGCGAAGATATTCCGTTTGCCATCAGTTGTACCATTATTGGCGACTTTATCGTTTGCGCCGGCAAAAAGGAAAAGTACCCTGCATTCATTTAAAATTCTTATTTAGTTATTTCCGCTAAAATTATTAAAAGAAAACTAACAAAAAAAAAAAAAAAAAAAGGCCATGAAGTGTTCTAATAATGAAAAATTAAATACCTTACTCTGGCTAATGTACTGCGATTTCCCTCAGTCGTAACAACATCGAAGCCGACCCTTTCTCGTCCACGTTTTATTTCTTCCGTAAAAAAGCCATGATATTTTAGACTTTTACTATTCAGAAGTTCGCAGCTCTTTTTAATAACTGTAGTTTTGCCCACACCTGCAGAATTGGAAACATGTTATCTAAAGATAAACTTTACAGCATAAAAAAAAATGAGGTAAAAGTTTACAATTGGGTGCCCCTTGCTTTTTGGCGATTTTTTTTTACGCCAAGATCGACGACAGGAAGGCACAATTCAAGATGGCCGCTATACAAAACCAAAATAAGAAGTCAAAGAATTACACAAACACTGTGTCCATGTACACATCGATCTGTTTTCACTTAAAAAAACATCCTAGAATTGCACAAACTAGGCACTGCGCACTGGTTTAAATTTGTCCATGTACACATCAACCTATTTTCATTTAAATAAAATCAAGAAGCTAAAACAAAGTTAAAACTATCATGGTAACCAGAAGTGAGGTTTCATCGCCGAAATTTGAAAAAAAAATTGTCGCTAATCGAAGGGGCACCCAATTCTACACTAGAGCCAAAAATGAAATGTATCTCAATTTATACTTTGAAAATATAAAAATAATTCATTGTACATTTCATAGAGACATAGTCTAATCCATTATTTACCAGGTGGACCAGTCAATAGAATATGACGATTAGTCATGAGAACGAAACTGATGGAAAGAATTCACTTTTGCCGCTCAAAACACCTAAAATGTAAACATATTGTGCACATCGCAGGTTAATGGCACAGGTACTAACACCTAGAGGAGAAAAACTTTCGGAAAAGTTTATACGCTTCTTACTTCTATTAATTTGCAGAAAAAATATTTTTAAATTTAAAAATCTTTTACAATCGAGAGAAACATCATAATTAAATGAATTAAATTAAAATTAATGCCTAAATGACAGTAGCAGTAAGATGACATCTCAACTTACTCTGAAGTGGGAAATACGAGCCAAAACACAAGCATATGCTACAGAACCATAAGGCGCGTATTTGTAGTTTGGATGCGCCATGTCGAACTTGAAAGATTTTGAGAAAATTGAAAAAGTTGGTGAGGGAACATATGGAGTTGTTTATAAAGCGGAAGATAAAGTATCCAGAAGAATTGTTGCTTTGAAAAAAATTCGATTAAAAGCTGAAACGGATGGTGTTCCAAGCACCGCTTTGCGAGAAATTAGCTTACTGAAAGAACTCGATCATCCAAATATTGTTCTGCTTGAAGATGTTGTATATTGTGACCATAAACTTTACCTCGTATTCGAATATTTAGATTTTGATTTAAAAAAGTTTTTAGATCAACACACTGTGAACGGTCTTTCGTTAAACAAAGCGAAAAGCTATCTTCATCAATTACTACAGGCTATTGGATACTGCCATTCCCGCAGAATATTGCATCGTGATCTGAAACCCCAAAATTTGTTGTTGGATAGGAAAGGAAATATTAAACTAGCTGACTTTGGTTTAGCTAGAGGATTTGCTTTACCCGTCAAAGCTTATACTCATGAAATCGTGACATTATGGTATAGAGCACCAGAAGTCCTCTTAGGAACTAAAGAATATACGACAGCTGTAGATATTTGGAGCTTAGGTTGTATTTTTGCTGAAATGCTCACAAAACGAGCTTTATTTTCTGGAGACTCTGAAATTGATCAACTATTTCGAGTTTTTCGAACTCTAGGTACTCCAGATGAGAATAGTTGGCCAGGTTGCTCAAAACTACCTGACTATAAACCAACGTTCCCCAAATGGGCTCCTCAAGATATCGGTACTATATTGCCTATGCTGAATTTAGAAGGACAGGAACTTTTATTAAAATTGCTGACCTATGATCCTGAAGCCCGGATTTCAGCTAGGTTAGCTCTCAGTCATTCCTTTTTCAATGATATATCCAATCATGCCTTGTAATTTATTTATATGAATTTACCTCATATCTGGAATTATAACAGGAGGTATGTGATATGTGAATTTCTACTATTTATGTAGAAATTGTCATTAAATATATTTATAAACTAACTAAAGGCAGCATATAAATAAATACATGAATTTTTTTATCACTGTTTTCAAATTTTACTAGTTATTTGTGAAATTTCTGCAATGTGCTTTAAGTTTTATTTTTATTAAGCGTTGTTATTAATTTTGTGCCACATCAATTTTAAAATAGTAATTTTAATTTCAAAATTTTTAACTGAATAAAATAGCGATACTTGATACTCTCCCAAAATATCTTCACCTGTAATTCAGTGTTATCATAGGAAAAAAATCCACGAAACAGCCGGATGAATTGGGATCTTTCTTTGTATGTTGCCATATACAGAATAATATTTATGACTTAAAATGCACTAAACCATAAAGATCTTCTACACTGTTTTTTAATCACAAGTTTACTAAAGGTTTCTGCTTTATGAATGGTAAAAGCTTTGAAAAGAATATTTTATAAAACTATCTTTATGAGCTAGATTATATATTTTTAATAATAAAGTCAACATCCCCGTCAACATTAAATGAAATTGGAAAAGAAATATTATTCTGATTTTAAAAACATTAACTCGTAATAAGTAATTTTTCATGTTATAACAAATTGTAAAAATATAGGGTAAATTAATTAGTTGGAAAGTACTATACTGAAATACTTTTAAAAATGCAATTTTTAGTTCTCTTATTTCATAAACATCAAATGTATAATAAATTCAGTTATTGATATTTATTATTCATTACCTTTATTTCCAACTGAAACAAACATGTAACAGCTTTTTCTTTAAAAAAAATAATGCAATGCTTTCATTTGAGAAAACTGCTATATTTTACTGATTAAAATTAAATTTATGATTTAAGAGTTAAATATTTTTGTAAATTTTATTATACTTCTTGAGTCATTATTTTCAGGTGTTGTTACCATGAATTTAGAAAAAGCAAAATGAGTTATAATTCCACATATAAAGCTCCCATAAATTATATTTTCAATTTTTGTTTTAATTAAAAACTATAATTTTGAAAAACATAAATACAGGTGGAAATAAAATAAAAGTTTTGAAAGATTCGTCGGCTAATCTTTGGAATATGGTAACAGGTAGTTTGGCGACATTTTGGTAAGGCGATAAAGGTTACTTACTATCTAGGACTTTACCAGTGTATATGGATAAAGTCAAGAGTGTGCGCATTGCCATTTTTGTGCAATTCTGGGATGTTTTTTTAAATGAAAATAGGTCGACGTGTATATGGATACCGTGTATGTGCAGTTCTTAAAAACGCGACAAGCAGTTTGCGATTCTGCACTTTCTTCCAATTTCGCACCTAACCTTCATCATGAATAAGCACTTTTGTTCCATAAAAGTTCTAGCATAAGCGTAATTCGGCTAGCAGATTGTTGGAAAAAACTGTTGATTAAAAAAAATGCCTTTACTTTGTGAAAACAGAATGGCATCGAAACAAAAACTAGCAGGTTGCTGTAGCAGGGTTGGTCGCCAAGAAATCGCCAACTTACCATAATCCAAAGATTAACCGATTCATCGTTAATTTGGAAGAAGAAACAGGAATATAAATTCAACCCGAAAACCATATGTTTGATATTACAAAATATATTTTGCAAGTATTGAAATATTTGTTCCAAAATTAAATTCAATGTAGTTAATATGCATTTCATGTTTCAAAGATTAACACTTTTGTATACATCGGCAATATACAATGTATATTATGCACAATAAACTTTAATCCTTATGGATGTATAGGTTATATTTTAAGTTTTTAAGCTTAATATTCTTTGTTATCTACCTTGCGTACATATGTAGAAATAAGACATTACAAGAATGAATTTTAACAGTGAAACCACATAATAATAAAAAAAAAAATATTTGTATATATTAACAAGATGTGATTTTAATAGATACGAACAACAAAATATTCTTCATAATTCATTTGATTGAAAGATAAAACTTAATAAAAGGTAAATGAAATAAGTGCTTTATTCTGTGATCCAGGACAGAGGTGATAAAAAAGCTTTTAGACATATCTAGTCGATCGTAAAGGCTGGCTACTATCGAATAGTTAAAGTTGGCGGAGATCCAGCCAAAGTTGCATCAGTCTTTCTTGTGGAATTCTGAAGGAAATAAAACTTCTTTATTTATTAAATAAACAGTATTTGACCTGCTTTATAAAAAGGCCTTCCTTGATTTCTACTATTTTGTTAGGTAGTCTGATTTTACCAAAAACTCTGTTTATAACCCTATGAACAAAAACTTTTGGTGGGTAATTGTTCCAATCTACTATCTTTTGTCAGCTATATCCAGTCGAACACATCCTGTTCATTAATATATACCTTTTGATGGTAAGATTCCATAAATTTGAAAATAATCTGTTTGGTGTTTTCTAGAACCAGGTCCTAAATTTTAATAACTTTTTCAAAATGCAAGAAAAAGAAAGAGAGCTATAACAATTAATTTATACTCTTGTTCATAAAAACAAAACATGGCATATTGAGAATCAATTAGGTTGTATAAGATGAAAGCGTAGATACTAATAAGTGCTACATCATGCTTAGATATAATTGGTTATAATCATGCTGCTTGGCAACAGTTTCATTATTGAGGAGATAATAAGTAGTGCTAAAACATTTTAACTCGCTTAATAGAATGAATAATTTTGTGTGTACTACACTGACAGAAAACTCTTTGTATGACACTCGTAAAGCAATGGAAGATCATGCCTTTAACCCGGAAGGCGCATCAAGAAAAGTTACTTGAGCAGGCGCGTGGGGTATCACATACCCCAATATTTAAAATATGATAAAAAAAGTTTTATTTAGTTTTAAACCAGTTTTGTCATTTATTATATGTGAATAAACCTTTGGTTACAAAAAATTAATTTCCAGTGTTAAGCTTATAGAGTTAAAATAAAAATAAATGAAAATAATAACAAAATAAACATACCTCTAATTTTTTTTTTATATATATTTCATACACAATGCTTATTTTATCTGTTTACACTTTGAACAAAATACATGTTCTTGGCACAGAAAGATTTCACATTTTGAACATCACATTCGTGTTTTTCTATCCTTAGCTCGGCCCACCAGCGGCTGAGTGGTAAAGTCACTGAATACTGGTAGTTTGGTCTGAGGTTCGAATCCCGCAAACAGGCTGGCTGCATGGGTGTTTTTGTATTTTTCCCTATGTGTAACGTGTATAAGAGCCAGTTTCCCTTAAAAAGTGCTCCACGAAGGCATTCCTCCCCTTAGGCAGATAGCCCTAGTGTGCTTTGCCATAATTAAATACACCAACACCTATCCTTAGCTTGAGGACATTCATCACATCTTTTATATTTAGTTATTTTGAATTTCATAGATTCATTTTAATTATTCGTAGAAACTTCTGCTCTTCTTTTGCATGCCATATGTAAATTTCTCGTTAACGTATTAATCTCTGATCTTTGTTCAGTACGATTTTTAATTGGTCCTAATGCTAAGTCCTTCAAAAACAGACGTCTGCTTCTATATCTGGTTGGTGGATTAGCAGTTGAAAGCAATATGATTGGAGCATTTATTGCAGCAATATTCAGTGCAGGAAAAAACAATACCATTGGCCATCTCCTTGTTATTATGGCAACTGAATAACTTGCTGCCATTTCATCTCATTATGCCACCTATACTTCCACAGGCATAACACCTTAGTTCTGTACTCTTATTAGGTATAGCACATGCTTTATTTTGTATGTTAGTACTTGAATAACCCTTATTCTTCATATCTCGAATGTGGATTTTCTTATAAATTTTTAATTTCTCTTTGAATTTAGAAATAGTTTTACACCCATACAAAATAATTTTGTTACTACTCATTATGCGGTATCTCATTGATTACATAATCAAGAATTGATGAATCATCAACTGAACCATGACTGGCTATTTCACGCATGGCAATTAAATATTCGGAAAGGGATTCACCAGGTTTCAAGTGTTGTTTAAGTCCAGGCATAGTCTAAATGAACCACATTTTTTTCTACTTAGCACGATATTAGTTGCATAATCAGAACAGCTTGGCTTAACAATTTGTTTCTCTAACCATTCCGAAATCTGTTTATCAATTTCACACTGCTCTGTGGGGGAAGGGGGGCCAACGCGGCGCGCAATGTAATGTAATGTGTAATGTATGCTTTACGCATGCGCATGTTGAAAGAAATGTTTAAGAAAGTAAAGAAATAAATATTAAGCTTTCTTTTTGTAAAATTTGATACCCTTTAGATCATAATTGCTCTTTATTTCATGAATTATGGTTTCATATTTTTAATTTTATAATTTCTGCATGCCATCTTAGCAGATTTAGATTGATGATCTATAATTCGGAAACACCCCTAATCCGAAGTTCCGACGAGTCCGGATTACGTACTTTGTACTGTACCAGTTATCTGCAGTAATATTTCTGCCAGATTTATACAGTGGTTGAATTAATCTTTTCACAATGTCAGATGGACTGGTACTGACCTTAAAGGGACCATCTAGCTTTGTACCGCAGTATATTTCCATATTAGAAGTATAAAAAGTTCTTGAGTCTACCAGTGCTAAAATCTTGATTCCGTATTTTGCTGGTTTGTTCGGCATATATTGCCGGAACCCACATCAGCCCCGAAAGGGTTCCAGTTTCTCGTCAATAGTGACGTACTCACCTAAATTATAGGAATCTTTGCAATTTGAAATAAATTTTTCAAAGAAATCTCTAATTGCTCTAATTATCAAAGTGACTTGTAAAGGGCACATAAATATAAAAGTCCTATAACTGCTTTTATCTCGACCATGTCCGTAGCTTTCGCATCTCTTTTACATTTTATAATTTAAAACTACCTCAGAAATATATAAATTTGTACAATCTACAATCATTGACAATATTATTACATTCTTTCTTTTCTGACACCAGTTGTTATGTTATTTTCTTCCTTCACGTTCATACGGGGTTTATAGATTTGGAGTGAATAACGAAGACACTTGGTGAAGTATCGAAACACACTTTATTTAGCCAATATTAATCAGGACAACTCCAATAACACTTTTTACAGTCGTCGATGAACT